TTTTTCAATGGATTTCATTCTGTAACTGTTTTTCTCATTCACATTGTTTGTTTCCCACTTCGTTTTTTCTAAAAGATTGCTCATCAAGCTTGAATCCGAGAACTTCTTTTCAAAATGGTTTTCTTTCTGTAGAATTCTTCGCTTCTGTTCCAATAGGTACCAGTTCTATATAATTTCCATCATACTGACCACCTCTAAGAGCCTTAGATTTCTCCACAATGTAAAGTTCGCAGAATTTTTCACAATCACAATTTGGCTTCCAAGCATTTTCCACACTTTTGGATTTCTTACGTAATTTTAAAATCTATAGGAAATGCTGCCTCCCAACGGTTTACAGCCTCATTGTATCTGGGAGGTGTTCCTAAGTGGCGGACTGCGATGTACAGCAGAGGGATTCACTCCCTTGGCATGGTCTTCCAAGCTGAGAAGGGGTGCGGCGTTTCCATCAGGAAGNTCCACACTTTTGGATTTCTTACGTAATTTTAAAATCTATAGGAAATGCTGCCTCCCAACGGTTTACAGCCTCATCGTATCTGGGAGGTGTTCCTAGGTGGCGGACTGCGATGTACAGCAGAGGGATTCACTCCCTTGGCATGGTCTTCCAAGCTGAGAAGGGGTGCGGCGTTTCCATCAGGAAGCCTAGCTAAGAGTAAACCAATACCAGGACTCACCACGGCATGGTATCAAAGTCGCGTGGTGGTAAATCTCTTTTTGATCTACAAGGGCGGCGACTACCTGAAGTGGTGACGATATGGGGCACACTTTGGCAAGACTGATCTTGGAGCTCCAGGTAGCCACAATGGTTAAATCAGCAAAACTCCGAAAAATGGAGATTGTGCTGGGGCCCACACAACCAGTGAAGTCGGGCTGTCCAAGTGTCCATAGGAAATGACGACGTGACAATGTGACTTATGTGATGAAGTCAGCTTACTAAATTGCGCTACAGTTGTTCATTATTGTTTTCTTGCCGGTTTTCCTTAAAAGTTTTTTGTAGTTTTTTTATTTAGTTCAGTTATTTGGATATTTATGCACAGCTTTCAGCAGTATTATTAGAGATTTGCCTACCTGAATTTTTGAACAGCTTGTCACCACTTGTCGTACGAGTTACACCATATTTTTCATTATTTTCGCTGTATCGCCATTACCGCAGTCAATCTGAAACCTAGTGGATGGAATGAGCCACATAGCTGTTTGCCGATCTTTTAAGTCTTGATCATCTTAGAGGACGCATAGATTCTCTTGGAGTCCACTCCTTTGTTCTCTTCGCCCATCTGTCACCGATTCTTCGCGGGAGCCCATGGCCGGCCCATCCATGTTTTTAATTCAGTTGTTTTTTCCTGGGAAAATTAGTCAGCAGGGTTTTTCTTAAATACGGTATTTAGACATAAAAACTGATTTCTTTGATTAGGGTGGAGTAGCATAGACTTCTTCGATTATTAAGGTGATACCCTTATGTTTTCGTGAGACACTTTCAGATTTCGAGCTCTACTGGCCACGTGGCAGCCGAGTGGCACGAATTATTGAAGGTGGTGAAATCGCCGGTGAGTTGGCCATTTATAAGTTTATCTAATAATATCTTCACCTATTGACTTTATCGATTTCCCGAGTCACTAGAAAGTTGCTTCCTCCGAATCTCGAACTGTGAAGATCTTTATATCGATTTTTTCATGCGAACATCATGAACATCATGTGAGTACCATCAGTTTATTAGTGCTGCGAAAGTTAAAACGTCGCTGAAAATGGCGCCAAGCGACTGGAAATCTCAAGCTTGAGTCTAGTCGTGTGTCACTGGCGACAAGCCGAAGTATTCCTCACGATGGTGATGGCACGGCGTGATGTACGGCGTGTCACTGTTTTCAGTAAAATCCATGTCTGCTAAATTGATGATCAACGTTTCTAATTCTAGGAATCAACGGTTTCATGCATATGATTGAGGACGTGCTCATCTATGAACCGGATCTTCGTGCACATGGCGGTTATGTGGAAGTGTTCGACTGGAAGCTACTCATAGCGGTCTTGTTTATATGTTGGCGATTCGGCGTCGCTTAGATGGAACACAATGGAATCATAAATGTTTTCATCGTAAATGACTCCAATCAAGCTCTCATCCCAAGCCTTCAGACTGGCCTCTATCATTTCATGTTGTGCTTGAAGTTTATTCGATTTACATAAGTGAATTTACAACTTGTAGAATCACTAACGAGTTTGTGAGAGGTTGACATTTTTTTCCTTCAAACAGTGCTTTTTTCTTCGATCCTTTACTATTTGTATGAGATTCTCACTGATCTAGGTGATAATTTTACATGATGCAGGCGTGATAGGTACTGATTTTCTGAAGGCCTCGTCTACATCACTCTGCTTTCATTGCTTGGAAACACTCATGAGACATTATCACTAATGAAGTTGCCGGGTATTTTGCCTATTTTAAGAATTTGATTATTATCGATAAATATGCTAATGGATTAGTGGTGAAAAAGCCGAATGGTTTCTTTAAAAGGGAGGCGCGTTATAAAAGATGTGGTGGATTGTGTTCGCATGTGGATTTCGATGTGGATGAAGGACAATCTGTGGATGGACTTCTGGATCCACAGAGAACATGAAAGCTGGTTAAATATGATTCATTAAGGGCTACCAGGGTGCTACCGTACACGCAAAGTTTGCTTCCGTGAGACAAGGATTCTTCCAAAATGGTAAATTTGTGAGTTTTCGAACAGTCGACCGATGTTTCGTAGAAAGGCGATGTACACACCTACATTAGAATATGACCAGCTTTGCTTGTTGTTATGGTTAAAGGGTTATGTGTTAGGCCTTGAGCTAAACATTAATATTATAGTGTTGAGTTATTCCTTTTTCGGGCATATCAACATAGTAATTTCATCCATATCAATCGATTTCTTCATGTTTTTGTCTAGTCATTTGGAGCTCCTCTGTTTTCCCTTTCTAGATTCAATTGTTTTCGTCAACCTCATTCACTTTTTCTTCTCAGAGCCACATATGATTTCGACTATTTTTTCTCGTCCCAAAAACTAAATCAAAAAAAAAACTAATCAAACTAAATCTTCGTCCCAAAAACTTAGTTATTTAATCGTTTATCGGAATTCCGATAGAGTTTTTATACCTCTAGATTTTCCTTATCAAATCACCATTTCCTCTTTCCTCTTCTTCCTACATTTCTGTTCGTTTCCATAAGTCGTTGACCTCATTCTCTTCATAGCACGAACACATCCGAAAACATTTTCCTGTTTCCAGATCTTCCTTTCCAAGTTTTCCTCTTCACTTCAGTTCTTTTTCCCTCTGTAGCTTTTTCTTTATAGGTTTAATGCTATCATTACTACGTGTGGTTTCCATTCTTTCTCATGTTATCGTGGTAGTTGTTGAACATAAAAAACGTCCGCGTAATCCAAAAAAAAGGCAACAGTTTACTTCTTTTCCGTTGTTTTTCTGTATTCTCCTATTTCGAATACGAACATGGTAGCTGGTTCGTTCGACCTTGTCGCAGCCAAATCCAGCTTCTCATCCTTCCGGGGTTGACAAATTAGTACCGATCCTATATGTAAAACAACTCCCCGATTTGCAAAGGCTGGTAGCTGTTCTTATGGTAAAAGCTTGGGAACGTTCTGGTAGAGCTATCTTCAATGAAATTCGCGAAGAAGACAAAGTCTTTAAGGTCAATGTGCAAATCCGACGACCTTCCTTAAGAAAGGTTCCAATTTAAAGCACCGAAACAACAGAGTGTCTGCATCTGGGCAATATTTGATATTGGGTCACATAGAAAAATAATTGAAAGGAGTCAACGCATGTATCTACATGACCTAACGATTTACGTGAACATCATAGTTCATATAAATCAATGAAGACAAAAAGGAACCCTTTTATTCGAAACCCCCTCATTCTTTTATCTCCTCTCTTCTTCCCATCTTCCTCTTTCCGTCCCTCTCGTTATTCACTTGTCCGAAGCACCGCCCCGGCTTTTGTTTCTGATTGGCACCCGTTACCACCACAATAACGCACACAGATGCGTATCTCCTATACTCACTGCAATTCGCTTCTGACCTCGAGCCAATCGATGATGTGACGTCATCCGAAGGTGATGTTCATCGCTTTCTTGTGGTGTTCTGTGGTCGTCACCGTCACCACCATCCCCGCCACCACAACCGAAGTCGCACGGCGATCGTGTAAGCGGTTCTCCATTTCGAATCGACCATCACAAGATTGTTCATCGCAGGACCTCTCAGTACTGCCGGCACTCTTCAATGACATAATCTCACTGAATCTTGCCAATAACTCATTCCCGATTATCGAGAGATTTCCGAACAACTACAGTAATCTGTACACTTTACGACTGGATAAATGTGCTATTCGAAAGATTTCGGTACAGGTGAGATGACGAAATAATAACTTTATAAGTTTGAAACGGAAAATGACTTATTTATCTTTTGTAAACTCACCTATACTTAACCACGGGATTGGTAATCAATATCTTCTTGGATTGTTAAGCCTAAACATTGTGTGAAGGGAATAATGCAGCAAAATCTCAACTTATTTGAGTTGTTTTCTGCTCAGGATTTAAAACAATCATGTAGTCAAATCCTAGGATCAGCCTTCCTTTTCGCGTGTTTTTCAACAGTTTTCTTGCATCCCTCAACTATTCACACCTTCATTTCGTCATCGTCATCTGGTGGTTGTAGGTGGTGCACTAGTTGATTTACCATTCTAGTGGCCTTTCGAATCTGTCGTTTTCCTATTGGAATATGAAGTATGAAATTCATATAATCGTTTTCTCACTCCGTTCTAACCTTTCCTTTTTTCTATTTCTTTCCTCCTCTCTGTCCATAACTCTTCCTCTCTCTTCCTAGCTCTCTCCCTTTCACCTATTACCCATCGTGATTAAACGCTTCTGTCGCGAAGCGAATGTTTGAGGTGGATTAGCAGTCGACGCTATATTTTCCATTCTTGCAAAACAAATTGGGAAAGAGGTTTAAAGTGACACAGAGAAGAGGAGTGAAAAAGGGAGAACAGCAGAAAAGGAGAGGATTAGAGAGGAAGAGGGTGCGAATTAGCTGAGATGTAGTGCTGAAGGCTTCGGAAAAAATGACATTTAACACAAGGACATCGAATAAGAATGCAAATAGTACCACAATGTTGCTGAGATATTTGCAAAACTCTGGACCGCAGGTGTCTATGGTGGGGAACGAACGCGCTATTATCCTTTCCGGGGAGTAACGCGTTCACCACCACACCATGCGGGTCCTTTGTTTCGCACGTCTCTCAGCTATTTCTATCGATCTTTTTGCCACAGCAATCACCCGTCAGCGGGGTTGATCTGGGGAGCGCAAATCGGCATAGAACCCAGTTAAGCTATGGCTGTAGTTGAAATCACAATGTTTTAACGTTTTGTTTTCTGCCTTCTATAATTTTCATGGCAGGTTACTAAGCGAAATACAACCACAATGTTGCTGAGATATTTGCAAAACTCTGGACCGCAGGTGTCTATGGTGGGGAACGAACGCGCTATTATCCTTTCCGGGGAGTAACGCGTTCACCACCACACCATGCGGGTCCTTTGTTTCGCACGTCTCTCAGCTATTTCTATCGATCTTTTTGCCACAGCAATCACAAGCGATTTGCGCTCCCCAGATCAACCCCGCTGACGNTAGGCAGAGATACTGAGGAAAATGGCGGGAAACGGAAGCTTTATATCGCTCTCGAAAGTTCTCCTCATAGTGATGACGATCGATATTGTTTATTCTTTTTTGTTTTCGATCATCGAAACTGTGTGGATTGCTGAAAAAAACTTCTGTTAGAAATATTACACATCCGGTGTAGTGAGAAACCTGTCAATGGTTTACCGCCTCATCGTAGCTAGGTGTTCCTGGGTATGGGGCTGCGATGTACGGCGGGAGGATTCACACCCTGGCAGGGTATCCCAAGCTGAGGAGTCCGGTGTTTCCATAAGAAGGCTTAGCTAAGAGTAAACAAATACCAGGATCTACCACCGTCCTGGTATCAAACTAGTCGCATGGTAGCAAATTTCGCTCTGGTCCACAAGGGCTGCGACTGCCTGTGGTGGTACCTGGGACAGAATTTGACCAGGCTGACCTCGGAATTCTAGGATTCCAGAGAGCCACAATGGCTTAACCAGGAAATCTCCGGAAAATGGAGATTATGTCAGGGCCTGCACAACCAGTGAGGACGGGTCATCCAAGTATCAAGTATTCAAGTAAGTAAAGTTGACGCCATTGTTGTTGCCATCACGGGAGTTCCGCCCAAACATTGATTAACCCTTCTTACTTCGTAGTGTTGTCTGTTTTTTTTTTCAGACTCTTAAAAAATTTTTTACATTAATGAAATTTGCACTAGGACGAGGTCTCCATTGCCAACGATTTCCTTGTCAACACAAGCTACACTTCTGACTTTTAATTCGACCTTCAATTGCCTCAGCAAAAGTTTTATTTGATGTTATTACGTTCCTAATTTGCATCAGAATAGTTTGAGCCAGCTACTTGTGAGCACATTTTGCTCCCGCCCACGCAGCATCCTAGTGAACTAGTAGTATGACTACTCTCTCGCGGAAAGCGGTAAAAGCAGAAAGCCTCATCCGAAAAGATGTCCTTTGTGTTGTATCGTTTGAGAAAGTGGAACTGCGACAGGCAGAAATAGAAACCGTACTGATGCTTTCTTGGTTCAGTGGACGCTTAACAAAGTTAGAAGTGGTGTAGGTAGTTCAGATACCTCCTAGTTGGGAAGGTGGCCCATGGCTTCGCAACTAATCGGCTCAAAATTTCCCCATGAAGGCGAATCAGTAACGAGCTGCAATAATATGAAAAAAGTGAAATCCTGTTCCTGGGAACACGACGTATTTCACCGTCGTCCTAACGTAGTCTGTGGAAGGCCGCGCTTCAACTTTATCGTGGTGGTTCCTCTTCGCCATATTAGGACGAACAGTGGCTTAGTGCATGACAATGAACGCTCTTCATGCCACTATAAGAGTGTCTTCGCCATCAACAACACCAATATTCGCTACCACTTATCAAGCCGTTAATTGATTT